CTGCTGCTGCCGATTTTACTGCTTCCACGCGACTCAACCAATCCAAGAGAGCCACGTGTAAAATTGTCAATCAACTCGGAGTTAATGGAACAGTTGCATTAAATAAAAGGGACAAAATAGTAAATAAGAAAGAAACAAACACGAACCATCACAACTTTTAGCTCACGTACAGCTTCACAATTCACACACAGTCTCTCTCTCCTCTTTCTTTTTCTCTCTTCTAAAGTTTCCACCGGCGCCTGAGTTCACCGTATTATCCGGCCTCCATGGATTCCCCCATCCATGGCGCCTTGAAGCTCTTATTTACGGTATTTTGTATGGTATCTGTGGTTGTTGTGGCGGTTGCATCGCCGGAAAGTTCCGCTTCTAGATCGTCGTCTCCGGCCATGTCCGGCCAGATCAACTCGAATTCCATCCTCGTTGCTCTACTGGATTCTCATTATACGGAGCTGGCGGAATTAGTTGAGAAGGCTATGCTATTGCAGACCCTAGAAGATGCCGTCGGCAACCACAATATCACCATTTTCGCCCCTAAAAATGAAGCTCTGGAGCGCGATCTAGACCCTGAGTTCAAGCGGTTCCTTCTTGAGCCGGGGAACTTGAAGTCGCTCCAGACCTTGTTGATGTTCCATGTGATTCCGACTCGGATCGGATCGAACGATTGGCCGGCTCATTCCAAGTCCGCACGGCAATCCACGCTTTCCAAGCATGTTCTTCATCTTGCCGGCCATCATTCCGGGGAGAAGACCGTCGATCTCGCCAATGTGGTTCATCCGGATGCTATTACCCGACCAGACGGCGTGATTCACGGGATTGAACGTTTGCTAATCCCTCAGTCCGTGCAGGACGATTTCAATCGCAGGCGAAATCTTCAGGTTATAAGCGCCGTGAAACCGGAGGGAGCGCCTGAAGTAGATCCGAGAACTCACCGTCTAAAGAAACCGGCTCCACCTGCCGAAGCCGGTTCCCCGCCTGCTCTCCCTATATACGACGCGTTGGCTCCAGGACCTAGTTTGGCTCCGGCTCCGGCGCCAGGACCTGGCGGAGCTCATCGCCACTTCAACGGCGAGAGGCAAGTCAAGGATTTCATCCAAACTCTGCTACACTACGGTGGATACAATGAAATGGCGGACATTCTGGTTAACCTAACATCGCTAGCGACTGAAATGGGGCGACTGGTATCAGAGGGTTATGTGCTCACTGTTCTGGCTCCAAACGATGAAGCCATGGCTAAACTAACTACAGACCAGCTAAGCGAGCCAGGGGCACCGGAGCAGATTATGTACTATCATTTAATACCCGAGTATCAGACGGAGGAAAGTATGTACAACGCTGTTAGGAGGTTCGGGAAGGTGCGATACGACACCTTGAGGTTGCCGCATAAAGTGGCAGCTCAAGAGGCCGATGGGTCAGTCAAGTTCGGCAATGGAGATGGATCGGCGTACTTGTTTGATCCTGATATTTACACGGATGGACGGATCTCGGTGCAGGGCATTGACGGGGTATTATTCCCGCCGGAGGAGGTTGAGGCCAAGGACGCACCAAAGGCAGTTCAACCCACCAAGGTCGTGGCCAAGCCTCGCAGAGGTAACGATTTTGTTAAATTTTAAGTGCACTTTTTCCACATTATTTTGATTAATTCCTCTGATTGGTATAAGTTAACGCATGATTGATGTATGTAGAGCATTCAATTCTAGAAAACCTTTATTCAAAATCATCGATGCCAATTAAGATCATATCCTCGTGATTTCACTTATCGAGAAGAAACCACTATTGTCATACCATTCTATTAGACGTTTTCATTCCAAACATCGAAGAATGAGCTGATTGTAACCCCTCCGCTAATTGAATAGAATCGATTAGTTACACATATAGGTGCGTGTGTTAGACTAGATTGGGTGGAGTCTTGATGTGCACTAAAAGTTACTCTCTGCGGTTGCTTCAAAGCATTGTCTCGTCGATTACAAGGAGGTGAAAATGAAACGTGGGGGGTTTCTAGAAACGTCTCCATGGGGATGCTTACCTTTGCAGAGAGGAGGGATTAACAAGATTTTGACATATGACTGTCTTGTTAGGGTTGTTGTGTATGGCCATTCAGGAATCAAATGATAATCTGGAGCAGGGTGGAGAGGTAGTTTCAAAGTTCAGGACAGTTAAGATTTCTATAGCCCAAGAATTCGGCCAGTGTGAAGTGAGATCATATATCTTTAAGGATGTTAAAAAATGGCTAAATCTTGCCAGTCAATATAGTTGAAAATGTATCGTAAATTTTGGTATAGCCAATTGATTTCCTAGGAACTTTCACTAAAACTTAAATATCTTCTTGCTACAGACTCAAACAGCCCAAATCCTCCGGTTTGTATGCTGGACTGTACCTTCTGTTCTTGTAATAACCCAAATCTACCGTCGGTAGATATTGTCCTTTTTGCGTCAGTCTCATGATTTTAAAATGCGTCTATTTGAAAGAGGTTTCCACACGTCAGTCTCATGATTTTAAAATGCGTCTATTTGAAAGAGGTTTCCACACTATATAAGGAATGTTTTCGTTGTCTTCTCCAACCATGTGTCTATTAGGGAGAGGTTTTCACACCTTACAAGGAATGTTTCGTTCTCCTTTTCAACCGATGTGGGATCTCACAGTCCATTCCATTGGGAGCCCAACATCCTTGTGGACATACTACTCGGTGTTTGGCTTTGATATCATTTGTAACATCTCAAACCCACTGCTGACAGATATTATTTGTTTTAGTCCGTTACGTATTACTGTTAGCCTCACAATTTTAAAATCCGTCCGTTAGGTAGAGGAATGTTTTAGTTCCATAATTTTATCTATCCACCAAAGAAAGAGGAAGCAATTGCCCGAAGTTAGGATTTCATTATGCACTAGCCCCCTTGGGAGGTAGATCTAGATTTAGTAGAATTTCTTTGTCTGTTTGCTGCAATAAAATTTAAGGTAAATATATGTTTTTTTTTTTTTTTTCCCTATTCTTTCAGTGTAGTCCCTTTTGTTATATTAGGTTTCAGTTTAGTCTATTTAGTCTATTGCATATCTTCATTTTTATTTATACATTTTCAATGTTACAGTGGGGTAATGACAAGCTTTCATGGAAAGATACTTAAGTGAATTGACATAAACTTACAGGAAAAGTTCAGTCACTTATGAGAAATAAAAGTCGACCAACCTCTTAGAAATTTTGAAGAACAATAAACATCCCCCAGTTTTTTTTTTTTTTTTTTTTTTTTTCCTAATGGCGCCAATTTAACATTTACCCTGGACAGGGCATAAATTAAAACATGAGGGATGAAATTGAAGCTTTTTAATGCAGTACTTGGCCCAAAATTTGATATTCGTGCACAAGATTGGGTCACCTTTCCTGAATTGATTTTGTTAATTTAATACTACTGGATAGTCCGCTTGAACTAAAAATTTCCAAAATTGCAGGGAAACTACTGGAAGTCACTTGCCGGATGTTGAGAACTTTTGGACAGGATTCTTCTTTCACAGCTTGTCACTGAAGCTTGTGATGGTTGATTAAAGCAAAGAAAAAGGTTTGGATTTCCTCTCCTGTCTTTCTTATCGTTGTTATTATTCTCCATCGATTTGGGTCAGAATACATATAGGTTTAGGTTAATGCACGCTCACAGGATCTAAGAATTGTTTCCCAACTCAGTATAGGAAAATAGTTACACGTCAGATTATTAGTTCTTATGGATATTATATTGCAGTACCTCAACTATCCAATGCTTTATTTTTACGTCCTCAAGCCTCACGTAAAAAATAAAAATAAAACATTTTAATTATTCCGGTTACTTTTTGATCAATCATCGAATACAAATTTAAATACATATTGGAATTTTCAGAGGTTTTAAGAGACCATTGATAGTGTGAGAGGCTGTCGAGTTTGTCTTTAGCGACCCCTATTAGATTATCTTTTTAATGTAAAATTATAAAACTAAATCATATTATTTAGAAGTTTATATATTAATTGGAATAAGTATGAAAGTTAATGAAATCCAGGCAATTCCAAAGTTTAGGACAAGGTTTAGGGCTTCCAATGGAAAAATTGCACGAATTCACACCATATTACTGTTAAGATTGTAGATAAGAAATTTACATCTGTTGATGCAGATGGTATCATACACAGAGGAGGATCTGTAAGGAGGGACAACTCGACTTTGGTGGGCTGCTGGTAGGAGAAAAGGTCGTGGAGTATTTTTTTTTTTTTTTTTTTTTTTTTAAATTCAATGTTTTGGAGTACATAATACAAATCTATTTTGTATACCTTATTCATTGTCCGTGGTGGAAATGGAATCTGTAAGTTGAGTCTGGCCAAAATGTATGGGCGGGTAAACTTGCATGCTTCTAATCTGCCCCTGTCAATAATTTGAAATAAAATGTAATGTGGAGTACGAAAAGAAAAATTCTCTGTAATTTCAGTTTTATCAAGTCTCAATAAACCGAAATTTCATTTGTTTTTATTTCACCAATGAAAATTTATCTCGTCTGTATTGTTGAGTTCCAATTGCTAAATGAGGCTAAGTGGATGGAACGGCAATAACTACTTTTTGATCATGATGTGTTCTCTTAAGTGTAAAAGATTATACATCTTTCAGGTAAACAGAAGGTGGCCCGTATGGCAGAACATTTCTTAGTCTAACCACCGACAAAAAGGACAGCCTATATGCACTTAATATTGTTGCAAGAACACTCCATGAAGGATTCTTAGAGGCTGTAGGACTTGATGTTTGGAGATACTTTCCTCCATCTAAAGGCTCAACTAGATTCTGTCTCTAAAAACTGGCCGAGTAGTTGGCTAACATTCTTGAAGATTAGTGAAGGTGGGCTATGAACAATAATGTATGTGTAAAGAGCAGAGCGCCTCTAATATTCCCGTTATAAAAATGGTAATAATAACTTCTTCGAAAACCAGTCTTGCTCTTTGGGTGACTCAACACACCAAATGGCAAAGACTTGGTCTCAGTTCTATTGCTAGCCAAAATGGTTGATATAAAACATGTTTCTGTTATACGTCAAAATGGCCTATGTAACATGTAGCATATACAAGGTTATGTATTCCTCTAGCAGTTCAAACACATATATCAGCAAAATAATGCATGCATGGGGCGTAAAGAACATGATAACCTTACCAGAAGTTCTAGAAGCGTTTTATTTCATTTTCTCCTCCATGTGGCAGATCCTGAACCTCGCCCACCTTTCTTCTTAGAATCCTGGGAACTACCGCCTCTTCCTCTGCCACCGAATTTCTTGGCGCTTGAATTTTCCACGCCTTTCAATTCCAACTGCACTTGCATTCCAAACAAAATAGCAAATATAAAGTCCAATAGCAAGGACTTCACATTCCAATTGCAGTTTCTTATTCAAGCTTTGAAGGTCCAGTCGCAACTTCTCACCGTTTGTGGAGTCTTCTATAATTGCAACAAGGAATAATTGGCAACTAGAGAAGCAGGACTTGCCCAGCAAGCGCAACTCACTCACTAACCGCTGACCTCGAAAAGACAAATCAAATCTTACCAGCACCCTTGTTGTGCAAAGAGTTCTAGAATCGCTGCAATTCGCTTCTTTGGGGCTTTTTTTCACTGCAGGAACTGTATCCCCATACGTGTCTTGCTTACTTCTTTGTATGCCTTTGTTAGAGCAGCTTTCACAGCAGGGGGCACGCCATCCAATGGATTCTTACGAGCCTGTGATTAGGAGAATCGTCTGTAAGAAAACTATGCTAAAAAATGGTAGTTAGTATAGCAGCCATGATATCACTAAAAAAACTGTAGATGTCGATACCTGAAATTTTGACAACTCAAGAACAGTATCAAAATCCTCCTGATTGATTGAATATAGACTCATAAACTCAACAACCATTTTAACTGCTTCATTCTGGCAATCATATCATTGGAAAAAATTATTAAGTAAACCACAGTGCCTCGAAGAATTTACCATTCGTATAACAAAAATCAGACGATTTAAATATAGTCTAACCTCAGGCAGCTTGCGCAGTGGCTCAGTCAACCTCTTTAGAAAAAAAGTAAGGTTCTCAGCTTGTAGGTGTTCCCTGTATAATTTTATATACATGTATTATAGCTTGCAACTAATGACACACACATCCATGTGAAAAGAGTGTGGTTAAGCAGCTTACACGTGTATTCGGGACACAAAATTTTAACAAGTTTTCAAATATGAACATGGACAAACCAGCTTAGATTTCAGAACATGCAAGAAGGCATATATTTGGGAATAATCTTAAGATGAAGAAGAACCCATAATGTAGAAAAACTTTTATAATGATAGGGGGATCTAGTGGGATGGGCCTCTCTCTCCTTTGCTTGAATTGAAAGCTTTTCTCCTGACCATTAGGATGATAGCAGAATCTGGAAACATTAAAAATCTAGTCTATCTTATGAAAAAGTCTAAATGAACTACTAAGCCATTGGAAATGTAGATCTTTTTAATAAAAAATAGAAGGAAACAATATGTTCGAAGAAAAAGAAAGGCAAACTCCTAAGAGCAAAGGTATTCAGAAAAAAAAAAAGGGCAAACAACTTGAAGATATTTAATTCAGAAGGTTAAACTTTTCAACAGTAGGAATATCCATTCAGGAAGTATAACATGCTACAACAATGGAAAAAACAAATACAGCACATTACAAATTACCTCCATGAACAGGACTCGCGAGAAGCAAGAATGTGAACATGAAAGTCCTCCAAAAGCCTCATATGTTTTCCAAATGTTGAATTTTTTCCCCAGCCATGCACCAAATCTATTAAAATTACACTCTCCCTGCATGTACAAAACATAGTGAAGAGCTAATGATGACTAAAATAGGGGGCGCGAATGCATTATCCAAAATAAAGTATTTCTGCTCACAGGTAGAGGATTGTAATGCATACCAAATACATTAAAATAGTTTAATGATTCGCTCCTGCTATAATAAAAAATTACAAGAAAAACTCTATTAGCCAAATTCAACCACCTCTCTAAGAATAGCTATTTTTTCGTTCCTCTAAACGTATAATAATTACTCAATTTTCTAACTCATAAATAATTTAAACAAAATAAGATTTCAAAACCTTAAAACTTGCATGTACAGAATTTCATCACCTGCTCCAGCGTTTCTCTTTGCCCATGCAATAATCAAGCTCTATCACATAAAGATCAATAATGAATAGTAACGGTAGTTAAGAAAAGCATCGGATGCTCAGAGGTGAAGTCCTGAAACTTACGGTATTACACAAGAAGCAATAGAACTACTCTTGAGAGAGTTGCTACTGTCGATGCCTTTGAATTTGTACATTGATTATATCCCCATCTGCAATAGAATCAGCTGCACAGTCAATTAAATCCATCCGTTTGACCCCATTGAACACTTTTTTGTAAAATGAACACTTTTTTCTAATTGAAGAAGTTTAGTATAACTCCTTTGCATCGAGGCTCCTTTCTACCTTTTTTTGTAAAATTTCATAAGACCAATGAGTCAAGCCTCCTGAAATCCCTGCATCTACAAAATGTCATCTCAACAAGACATCCCATTCTCAGCTTCCATTCCAGCAGTTACCATAAGAATCTCCAGGCATGCCTAAAAAATAAAGAATGCTGGTTATTATCTGATACTCTTTCGAGAATCTAGCACGGAAACAATTCTCACCCTAATACGAGAAAGCCACTTTCGTCCAACTTTCTTGTTAAAGTAAGTTGTTGAAGTAACCAAATAACTTCAGATTTGGTGTCTCCTGCTCGGTAACAAGACTCCGCATCTAACTTTCCATCATGAGGTCTTTTGTCGCCAATATTCATCCTCCCTCATCAACACCTCTAACATTTTAACGTCAAGCTGCTTTTACTCGAACATATCTAGCTGCTTTTACTCGTTCTGAAGTGCATCCTTTCTATTTACGAACCAGAATACCAAGAGTTTTTCTATTCTGAGTTTATCTTTCTTGCAGGATCAAGCCAAAAACTAGAGACAATTAATTAACATCAAGATTATGTGCTTTTTATGACACCTCATCAGAAATGAAGTCAAGACCAGGTATTAAATATAGCTCCATTTTCCTTCAGAAACACCAGATACACCAAGTCATACAAGAACTATGGTTCCAGAAACAGACATCAATAATCCATCCACATAACAAGGAGTTTTTATAGAATAAAGGACCAGCGAAATACGCAGATAGAGAAACTGGAGATGAATCAAGAATATAATGATACTTGGAACATGCCATCTATACTGCTAAGAAGAGTAGGGTCAGAAGACACACTGTTTTTCCGGACTGTAGAGTTCAGTTGAAGCAGATTTCTCAAAATTGCTTGGAGCAGGTTTTGCATGCTTTGACGCATTGCCGCTGTCTTTATCGTGTGCTTTCATGAACCACTTTCTAATATCCGCCTGTTTATCACATCATAATTTAAATAGTTAAGAAGACCGAAACAAGCATTATCAAGTCTGAGATGCGCAAACGCAAATCTCGATAAAAACCAAACTCAAAAGAACACCAGTCGAAGAGAAAAATATGTAAACGACTTCCTCCATTATGACTATTAAGGAAAGAATACGAGTGCCACAGCAATATCAGTTGAACTGAAAACTCTAACTAACCATTATAGAGTGCACAGAAGGCAAGAAACGCCACTCTGCTGTCAAGTTCACCGATCAACCGAGCTCTGAAAGAAAGTTCGTCAAAATCATAATCATTAATTCTTGATGAGGAATGTATTAGACGTACATCGTATCCCAAAGATCGCAATCAAGTTACTCTAGTACGCTATAGTCGTCACGAAATTAGCAAGGTGATAAAACATTCGTCCATAAATGAGGAACAGTGAACTCGATATTTTCGCTTATTTCCACAACCGGTTCGCAACCGGATGGAAACAATAGACCGTGAGAGAAGTTTCCACCGCTCGTTTCGGTAATATGGAGAAGATCGAATCGGCATGGCAGTTTTTCACCGAATGAAAGCGATTAAAGAAACTAAAATGATGAAAATCAGATTCCGGTGAGTGATAAGACATAAAGAAGTCGGATATACCTCTCGGTTCATCTTCGATCACCGTCGACCTCCGTGCCTTGGAAGCGAGAAGGAGATCGCAATGGCTCGAGTATTCTGGCGGGTAAAAGCCGAGTGTCGTATAAAAGCATGATGCCACGTCATTTCTTTTCATTTTTTAAATTAACTTTTCTCTAAGGTTTGTATTGGGTTCATTTTGGTCTTTTCAGGTCACATTTTCCGTAAAAATATTAATAAAAAACTGATGTGACATATATATTTTTATTTATTTTGATGTGACATTTTTGTAAAAAAATATAAATTTATAAAAGAATATAAAATGTGAAAATTGGCGTCAGCATAAAGAGTTGCATTACATGATTAGGAGACGACATGTCGGTTAAGCACCGAAAGTGTTTTCGAGAGATTTGATGCATGCACAAACGACAACTAGACGAGGCTCTATTGGTTGGGACGATGATTTATTACCTGAAAATTAAAATTTAAATAAGAAAAAAATAAATAAAATTATAATTGAGGGGGGAGTTGAGTTATTGGGAAACAGCTCAGAATGCGGTGAGTTTATACGACAAAAAGGGGAAGGGGAGGAAGATGTGTAGATGGATGGCGACCTTAGGTCAAACCAACGTCTCCGATGAGACAAGATGTGATTAGTGATCAAAAGGTTGAAACCATTCCTTTTGCTTCCTTCCATCATTTATGCATATTTTTCACAAAATTGTAACTTTTGTGGGGTACCATTTTTTGTAACCAATAATATTTAAGATCTTTTTTTTAAATAATATTTAGTAGAGAAGGCGTGAGATTCCGCGTTTGGTCCAAGAGGGTAACAAGGTGTGAGATTCTACTAATGATGTGAAAACCTCTCATTAGTCGATGTGTTCCAAAACCATGAAATTGACGACCATACGTAATGGTCCAAAACGGATAATATATGTGTGAGATCTCACATCGTCTGTAGAGAGAAACAAAACATTTCTTATAAGAGCATGGAAACCTCTCCCTAATAGACGCGTTTTAAAACCATGAGGTTGACTACGATGCGTAACCGGCCAAAACAAACAATATTTGTTAAAAATGGACTTGGGCTATTACGTATGGAATTAGAGTCAAACACTAGGCGGTGTGCCAGCAACGACGCTGGTCCCCAATGTGGTGGATGGTAAGATCCCACATCGGTTGGAGAGGGAAACAAAACATTTCTTATAAGGGCATGGAAACCTCTCTCTAGTAGACGCGTTTTAAGACCATGAGGCTAACGATGATGCATAACAGGTCAAAACAGACAATATCTGTTAAAAGTGGACTTGGGCTATTACGTATAGAATCATAGCCAAACACAATGACGTTGGCCCCCATGGCGCTGGTTTGTAAGATCCCACATCGGTTGGAGAGGGAAACAAAACATTTCTTATAAGGGCATAGAAACCTCTCCTTAGTAGACGTGTTTGTTTTAAAACCGTGAGGTTAACGGCAATACGTAACGGGCCAAAACAGACAATATCTGCAAAAAGTTGACTTGAGCTATTACATATGGAATCAGAGTCAAACACTAAGATCATACGTCGATTAGAGAGGGGAACAAACGTATGTTATGTTGGTATCACTTTTTAGGGTGAGGTTAAAGAATAGTTTTGGAAGGTTTGTCCGAGGAGCCACGAGGCGCGCGCGCGCACAGAGAGAGGCAGGCGATGGTAAACAACATTGGAGAATTAATACGTCGCCCACTTCCTCCGCTACAGAAAGGCAAGCCAAAGAGGCGAAGATGGTGAAGAGAAAACGCTTGATGGCAGAGACCTCATTCCCATCCACTCAATCCTTCAATCATAGCGCACCCCACCCCACCCCACTTCCTCTCTCTCTCTCTCTCTCTCTCTCTCTCTGGATCAGAGTCGTCCCATCCTCATCTTAATACCCCTCATTCCATTTCCTTCTCTCTACAAAAGCATCTTTCTCTCTTCCTTACCATTTCTTTTCTCTTTTCCCCTTTCTTCTTCTTCTTCTCATTCATCTGTTTCTCATCCAAATATAAATAAAAAAAAATGAGATCTTTAGTTTCTTAAATTTTGTTAAAAAGGGTGTGTTTTTGATTCAGCCTTTATATATATATATATACTCGCGAAGAAGAAATGTCACTGGAGATGATGGCAGCAGAACGTGTTTGTTATGTTCACTGCAACTTCTGCAATACCATTTTAGCGGTACAAAACCTTCACCTTTCTATATATATATGTTTGTGTTTTATGACTGTGTACAGTACTTTCGTTTTCAGCTGAAAAGACCACCCAGTTTTTTTTTTTTTCACTTTAATTGTTCAGACTGTTGGAGGAGGAAAAAAGTGTTTATTTATGTATATATATATGAAACTAAATCATGGGTTTTGTTCTTTTTACTGTTGGAATCTTGAACATGGTTACAAATTGTGAGATCTTTTGTTATTTCTCCATAAATCTGCCTAAAAAACTGTTTTTGGAGCATATTTTATGAGAATTCCCATCCGGGTTTCTTACTAAACCCTCAGATTTGTGCAAATTTTGCTTCCAAAATCCAAGAACATGAAGTGAAGACGTTGAAGGTGTGAAGTGGATCCAATATTAGTAGCTAGGGTTCTTGAATTTTTGTTGACTGTTCTTTAAATTAGGTCTTTGGTAACAGTAATTTATTACATCCCAGATCCTTCTCTCTTTTTTTATTAATATTTTAATCAGTTGAATTAGGTTTAGATCCGATCGAAGCATTCTTGCAAGCTTCAATTCAATTTTCTCGAAAGATCAAAAGCTTTTTTTTCTCTTTACCTAATTTTCCTGAAACCGATGCGAAGAAAAGAGGTGTTTGGAGAGTGAAGCAACCCAACCCCGAAATGGTTCGAGTCTCGACTCTATGGTTTTCGTTCCAGTCACGTCGTTTTCTCATCGATCTAAATTTTCCATCTTTTATCGTCTTGTTTGCGGTGGTGTCAGATCGGAAGTCAGTAAGAAACCACCATGGAAAAGGATGTTTGAAGAGAGAGAGAGAGAGAGAGAATTCATGAAAAAAAAAAAAAAAAAAAAGACCAAAGTTGTGTTTTGTTTAAGGTCTTTCAGGTTTGGTTAATGTATGAATTAATGTTAAGTGTTCTGTCGGACAGGTAAGTGTTCCATGCAACAACATGTTCACACTGGTAACTGTGAGATGCGGCCATTGCTCAAATCTGCTGTCTGTAAACATGGGAGCTTCTGTTCAAGTTCTTCCTCCTCAAGATTCCCAACCGGTAAAATATATACATGAACGGTTAGATGAACACGACTCGTCACAATAGTAATATGGGATGAAACATTTTTATCGTCCAACAAACATATTATTATTTATTTATTTATTTATTTAATTAAAGAGATATTTTGTTTGTTTATGTGTGTTAGGGTAATAAACAGCAGCAGGTGAGTGGTGGGGATTGGAGCAAGGACAGAGGCTCTTCTTCTTCTTCCTCTTCTTCCTCTTCAAAATGCACTAAAATTGCCTCTCTTGATTCTGCTGAACGTGACCAACACAGAATCCCTCCTATTCGCCGTCAGTTTTCTCTCTATTATTTATTTATTTATTGTTTAATTTCATTATGAATGTTTTTTTTTAATAATTAAATACGAACAAAAAAAAACTAAAATTTGATATTGATTATGATTTGATTAAATTTTCAGAGAGGTAGATTGGGATATTAATTTTGCAACAGTTCACTTTTATGCTCACGTTTTTTGTTTTCTTTTTAATTTAAAGATCACACGTCCTTACCAACAAGACATTATGTGAAAGCCTCTTCCTAACAAACATATTTTAAAACAGATAATATTTGCTAACGGTGAGCTTGAACAATTATGTTCTTGATCTTTTTTTTTTTGTTACTTTTGCTTGGCCAAATGTTCGTCTCTAGACTTTGATAAGGTTGGTATAGGTAAGAACTACGATGGTTAAATGAAATTAATAGTGTGGTTTAATTGGATGAGGTGTTAGATGCATACGGACGTGGACCCATCTAGGATGGTGACCATACATGCATAATAGAATTCGACCCATCAATATCATGGGCCATTCTTTGTATGCATGTATGTTAATTTGGTACGTATGTATGTATGTGTGTATATATATATATATGATATGTATGGGTTATTTTGGTTATTAAAACCATAGCCATATTCTGAATAAATAGCCTTTCACTCATTTGTCATGTCATTGATTCCTCTGCTCCTTTGCACTTTTTTCATTCCTATTTAATCTCGTCTCTTAATACGTTTATTAATCATGTTTAATAGTATAATATAATGGGTTTGGATGTTGGCAGCACCAGAGAAGAAACAGCGTGTTCCTTCAGCATATAATAGGTTCATCAAGTAAGTTGATGGCTTAATTAGTTTGGGATTAGTGGTCTTAATTAACCTTAATTAATGGGTTTAAGTGTTTTGTTTTGTAGAGAGGAAATCCAAAGGATTAAGGCTAACAATCCCGACATTAGCCATAGAGAAGCCTTTAGCACTGCCGCTAAAAATGTAAGTTCTCGAACCTCTTGCTCTTGCACGAAACTAAGATCGAGTTTTAGGTAAAAAGCGTAAAAATTAAAATGTAAAACTCGAAAGTTTAAAGCTTTTGGGATAAATATAGAAAGGTCTTTGATTAGACGTACGTGACGATACGGGAAGAGTCGTAATCTAGATGAACATGACTAATTCTAGTTTTAGACGTAAATTTTTTTATCTTTTTTAAGGAAATATAATTACTGGTTGATTAAGGATTAAAGTGGGTAATTAAATGATTAATCCATGTAATTAGTGGGTGGTTTGATTTTGCAGTGGGCACATTATCCTCACATCCGCTGTGGGCAGAAGGTGGATGGAAACAAGCAAACAAAATAAGCTTGAATTTGACCAGAGATCATCAGTCCATCCAATTATCCAATGGGGTTCTGCCACCTGTTAATTCTAGAGATGATGATGACGTGTCAATAGATTAAATACTAAATAAAACATCTTCTTTTTTTTTTTTTTTTTTTTTATTTTTAATTAATGTGTATTAATTTAGATTCTATTATTTCCAACAAAAATTGAGGTTGACGACGTCCTCTTGCCCTGACCCTATAGGAAAATAAATTACTTTGATAACCTCACCCCCCTCTCCCATGTCCTTTAAATACGTGTGATGTAATAACA